TAATTTCAGACCATCCTTTGTGGTTACTTTAGGTCTCTGAGTTTGCAAGACCACCATGCAGGCCTCCCCTGAGCTTGTCAGGTTAGCATGTGGCCCCTCTTGTGCCAGGCCTCTCAGTCAGAAATTCCAGTTCCTCTGAGCGCCATCTACTTCCCACTTTTTCTTCCTTTCTTCCTTTCCTCTCTCTCCCTTCACCCATCCGTTGTGAGTTAGTAGGGGAGGTCTGATTGTCTCTTTTCAGAACAACTTTTTAATTTTTAAAAGATTACATAGGCAAGACATGAGTAAGTACTTATATAAAACTAGAGGCTCAGTGCACGAATGTGTGCACTGTAGGGTGGGGAGCATGAGAGGTTGGCTGGCAGGCCCCGATCTAGTTGTGTAGATGTGCTGAGGTAGCAGCAAGCAAAGATCACAGACAGAGTGCCCCAAAATGGCATGAACACCAGCTATGCTCTGAGGTGGAAATACAGCTCTACTTCGCTGCCCATGCTTGGGCTGCCTCACTCTCCCCAGGGAGGAGTTGCTGACAGACAGATAGGTTGTCTCCTACCTCAGCCGCACATTTTTTGGGGGCTCCACCCCCAAGCATGATAGGTAGCTGACTTTGGCCAATGGTAGGAGTGCTAGCCAATCAGCGAGTGGGAACCTGGAAAGGTGTGGGGCCGAGCTAGAAGTGGCTGATGGGAAAAGAGCAAGCGGCACACAGTGCAGTGGCAGAGGTAAGATGGTGATGGTGCTTACTTTAAGTCTTTGCAGTTAGGCTGCTGCCTTGCCCCTTCTGCCCCCTCTGAGCTGCTAATCTGTCTCAATGAGCAATGGGGTCGCTCTCCTACAGGCTTTCCGGACTCAGGTTCTCCAGTACCTGGAGCCTTAGCCGGGGGGAGGGACTGCAGGAGGTTGGCCAGCTACCGGCCGCAAGGGAGGTTGGCTGTGGGAGCACACTGACCACCAGGGGGAAGCTCCTGCATTGAATGTCTGCCCCCTGGTGGTCAGTGCATGTCATAGCGACTAGTCGTTCTGGTTGTTTAGTTGGACCGGTCACTTAGGCTTTTATATATATAGATTTTGAACAGTACAACCTAGGTTCTCCTTCACTTCCCTCCCATTCCACTGTCCTCACCACCTTCCCCTTCACCCCATTTCCATCTCACTTACCTTGTAGTCAGGTTACTGGTCTATTTGTATAATCTACTCCCTCGAGTTAATTTTTAATATCTTTCTAAAAAGTTATGTAATATTTCTTGATTTTCAAATTTATTCTTATGAAATGCATAATGAGAATACTTACTTCATAAAGTTAGTGTGAGGATTAAATGAGTTCATGTATGTCAAGTATGTAGGAGATATTAGGTTTCTTATTTCATAGTATAAAAACAGTATTTTAAGAAAAAGCTAATAAACGTAGAACTAAGAGGATTTAAAATATGGAGTAAGCCAGATATATTTTGAGAAGAGGGTTTTTGAGTATAGTAAGAGTCTCCATTTTATGACTTGGATCTAAATTTCTTTTCTCTGGCATCTAAAAATCACTAGAGGGCAGTGATCATGTATGGGAGATGCAATTTTATATATCAGTATACTTATAAAGAACTATTAAGAGTATACTATGTCATATTATAGTAGCTTTAACTCCCTAATTATGTTTCCCTTATGAGTATAGTATTTTTTATTCCTTTCATTCATTTATTAAACATTTATTGCTTTGCTTAGTGATGTGCTGGAAATAGAGATTATAGTGATTGATGTAAGATAAGTAAAAAAGATCACCTGATTTACTAAACCTTGTAAGTGGAGGAATCGTGTCTGTCTAATCAGTGTGTGGCACATACCAAGTAATTAATAAATAGTTTTGAATACTGTTAGTCAAGAACTGTGAAATTGCTATGGTGTGTGTTCTGAGTACACTTGAAGTATAGAGGTGAGACCCTTGGTCAGACTGATGAATAGGGATCAGGGATTGCTTAGAAAGATTACTCATAGAGCAAATCTTGGAAGAATGAATTACAGTTACCTGGTGAAAAACAAAGGGAAGAGCACAAAGGATGTGCAGAGGAAGGAAGTCTTAGAGCAGCAGTTCTCAACCTGTGGGTTGCAACCCCTTTGGCGGTCAAACGACACTTTCACAGAGATCGCCTAAGACCATCCTGCATATCAGATATTTACATGACGATTCATAACAGTAGCAACATTACAGTTATGAAGTAGCAATGAAAATAATTTTATGGTTGGGTCACAACATGAGGAACTGTATTTAAAGGGCCAGAAGGTTGAGAACCACTGTCCTAGAGGGAATGCCTGTAGAGATGGAGAGGCCACAGTGATTTCTGCACAGTCAGGTAATTGTAAGGGTGTGGAGGAATGGGCGGATATACTAGTATTAGCCCAGCAAAGGCCAGATCATAACAGCTCTTTTATGTCTTGCAAATACCACTCTGTGAACTGAGAATATTTATAAATTTTTAAGCAGGGAGCATGACCTGATCATTTGGTTTTATAAGTTAGCATTTTATTAAAAGTGACCATTTACTTGCCGAAACCGGTTTCGGCAAGTAAACCGGTTCATTGATGTTTCCTTCCCCTCTCCCCCTCCCCCTCCCCTTCTGTTAAAATGTATTTATAAATAAATAAATAAATAGATACTAAACATTTATCAGCTAAGTATCTATCCACTGAGTAGAGCGTCGGCCTGCGGACTGAAGGGTCCCGGGTTTGATTCCGGTCAAGGGCATGTACCTGGGTTGCGGGCACATCCCCCGTGGGAGATGTGCAGGAAGCAGCTGATCGATGTTTCTCTCTCATCGATGTTTCTAACTCTCTATCTCTCTCCCTTCCTCTCTGTAAAAAATCAATAAAATATATTTTTTTAAAAAGTGACCATTTACTAGTCTGTACTGATACATTTCAAAAAGTTATATCAACCATATTTTCTGTCAATAAATGAACTTAAGTTAAAAATGAATAGCAAACAGTATATACAATCCCCACATTTGAAAATTTAGAAGTGTACTATCTGTAAATCCCATTGATCAAAAATAAATAATTCAAATTAGAAAATACCTAGAGGTAAATAATAAAGACAATTAAGATATATTAAAACTTATGTGACATGGGGAAGCCCTGTGTACTCATATTTAAAAATAGAAATTAAGCCCGGCTGCCATGGCTCAGTGGTTGAGTGTTGACCTATGATCCAGGAGGTTACGGTTCGATTCCCAGTCAGGGCACATGCCTGGGTTGCAGGCTTGATCCCCAGTGTAGGGCCTGCAGGAGGCAGCTGATCAATGATTCTCTTCCATCATTGATGTTTCCTTCCCCTCTCCCCCCCCTCCCCCTCTGTTAAAATGTATTTATAAATAAATAAATAAATAGATACTAAATATTTATCAGCTAAGTATCTAAATTAGGAAAAGAACAACAGGATAAATTCAAGTGAAATGAAATAGATGATAAAGATAAAAGCTAACACTTGTAGAGCCCTTGCTATGTACTAAATACTGTTCCATGTAGTTTACAAGGTTTTTCTCATTTAATGTTTACAACAACCCTGTAATGTAGGTATGTTATTCCCATTTTACAGATGAGAAAACTAAGGCACAGAGAGAAACTTATTCAAACTTCTAACTAATAAGTGATAGAATTGGGGCTTGAAATTAATGGGGAAATTTTTCTTAAAGATTCAGTGGACAGGATTAACAAAGCCAAAACTTGGTTTCTTGAAAAGACTGGTAAAATAAACCATTTGAATGATGGATCAAGAAAAATGCAGAAAGCACAAATAGTATTGGAAATGTAAAAGGGGACATAACCTTAGATATAGAAGAGAATCTTTTAAAATAAGACAATACCTGGAATAACTATGCCAATAAATTTTACAATTCAAACAACAATTTTCAGCCCAAGGCTTTGGGTCAAGATGGCAGCATAGGTAAATTCGATACTCACATCCTCACAACCAAATCACAAATACAACTAAGCTATAGAACAACCATCTTTCAGAACTGCCTAAAATATAGCTGAACAGAAGTCCTACAACTAAGCATATAAAAAATAAGCCATATCAAGACTGGTAGGAGAGGTGGATACAGGGAACAGGCTGGTCCCACACCCAAGTGTGGTGGTTAAAAAATGGGAGGTACATCTCGGCTGCATAGGTCTCCCTGAGGAGCAAAGTGTCTCAGACTCACATCAGGCCCCTCAACCCAGGGTTCCAGTTCTAGGTAGAGAACTCCCCATAACTTCTGGCCGTAAAAAAAAAGTGGGGATTGTGGCTCAGTGACACAGAGGCTGCTGGAGTCCCAGGTGTTTCTCTTAAAGGGCCATGCACAAATGTACTCAGACTAACTCGCTCTGAGCTATAGCACAGATGCAGCAGTTTACAAGGTTCCAGGTAAATACAGGGAGAAACTGAATTGTCTGGCATCAGAGCAAGAGCTGGCAGGGCAGCTTTCTCCCAGACAGAAGTGCTGGTAGAAGCCATTGTTCCTTTGCTGAGTTATTCCCCCACAGAGCCAGTAGGCAGGCACCATATCTGAGTCTCTATCAGCCTGGCTCACACTGTTAGTCCTGCCCTAGTGATTCCCTGAGACCCCAATCCCACCAACATGTGCGCCCACCCAAGCTGTTTCCAGGGGCTTTTCCATAAAAATGGCCTGTCTGGGGTGCAGGCTTCCTACTTTCCTAAAATCTCTCAAAGAAGCATCATCTGGCCAAGGCGTGCCCCACATCTCTCACTAAGTGACTCCAGGCCAGGCTCTAGTGTCAGCCAGCCTTGGTTCACAGCTTGGCTTCTCCTGGGCCTCGACAAGTAGCAGCCATCTGCAAGTCACTTTGTAACTCATTCCAGGTAGCCCCAGGCAGAACACAGGCCACGGCTGACCTTGATCTGTATGTCCTGGGAGTCTCCAGAGCCAGTGCACTTGGTGGATATCTTCAGACCACATCAGAGCACCACCCATCCACCTCCATAAGCAACATACTTAAGGAGAGGACTCAGTGGACACCAGAGCTCCACTGAAGTAAGTCTTGCTTTATGGCATGGGCCCCTATACAGCTGATCCTCAGTGGTCACAGCCAGTCCTCCCAGCTAATCAGTCAGGGGATAAGTTTCTCCCCTTGCCATGCCAACAGCAGTCAAGGCTCAACTACAACAGGAGGGTGTACACAGCTCACATGGGTATGGTGAGTACACCTGGAGTACCCAGCTTAGGTAAACGGGGAGGCTGTGCCACTAGACACGACAGGATAGCTACTACATTAGACCACTCTACCAAGCCTGGGAGACATAGCAGCTCTACCTAATACATAGAAACAAACACAGGAGGCTGCCAAAATGCGGAGATAAGGAAACATGGCCCAAATGAAAGAACAGAAGAAATCTCCAGAAGTGAACTAAACAAAATGGAGACAAGCAGTCTACTAGGTGCAGAGTTCAAAACACTGGTTATAAGGGTACTCAGTGAACTTAGGGGAAAAGTAGATGAAGTTAGAATTTTAAAATCATAAAAAAGGACATGGAAACCATAAAAAATAACCATTCAGAAATGAAGGATATACTAACTGAAATGAGGAATAATTTACAGGGAATCAATAGTAGAGCAGATAAAGCTGAGAATCAAAACATTGTAATGGAATATAAGGAAACAAAAAAAAAATCACCTAGTCAAACAGCAGAAAGAAAAAGAATTCAAAAAATGAGGATAGTGTAAGGAGCCTCTGGGACAACTTCAAGTGTACCAATATTTGCATCGAGGTTGCTGGAAGGAGATGAGAGAGCAAAGAATTGAAAACATGTGAAAAAATAATGATGGAAAATTGACGCAACCTGGTGACGAAAATAGGCATACAAGGTGAACCCAAAGAGGCCCATACCATAATTAAAATGCAAAAGGTTAAAGACAAAGAGAGCAACTTAAAAGCAGCAAGAGATAGCAGTTAGTTACCTGCAAAGGTTGGGACTGTCAGCTGATTTCTCAACAGAAACTTTGCAGGCCAGAAGGGATTGGCAAGAGTAATGAAAAACAAGGATCTGTAACCAAGATTACCCAGCAAAGCTATCATTTAGAATTGAAGGTCAGATAAAGAGCTTCCCAGACAAAACAAACAAACAACAACAAAAACTAAAGGAGTTGTTCGCCACCAAACCAGTTATTACATGAAATGTTAAAGGGTCTTCTTTAAAAAGAAGAAGAAGAAAGATTAAAAATATAAACAATAAAATGGCAATAAATACATATCAACAATTGAATCTAAAAAACAATAAATGAACAAGCAGAACAGAAGCAGCCTCATAGATAATGTTTTGACAATTGCCACATGGGAGGGGAGTTAGAGAGTTGGGTGAAAAAGATGAAGAGATTAAGAAGTACAAATTGGTAATAACAGTAGTCACAGGGATGTGAAGTACTGCATAGGGAATCCTATCTAATAATAGACAAACATGGTAATTAACCATAACTTTGCTACCCTACCCATTGGCTAATCAGGGCGATATGCAGATTAACTGCCAACCAAGATGGTGGCCGGCAGCCAGGCAGCTGAAGCGAACAGGAGGCTTGCTTGCTCCAGTGATGGAGGAAGC